CTGTGTTTTCGTTTTAACTGCTCTGTTTTTAAAGTCAAGCAAAATACAATACTTTTTTTAGCCTAGTATCGTATTTATCCAGCAATAATTTTCATAGATTTCAAATTCATTTTTCATCAACTATATATCCATGCAATAAGCCTACCTTGTCCCCCAACTCTGTTGATACAACATTAAACACAGGCTGCCTGGGCTTTATTTGCAGGATAAATTTTAATTCTCTGCATATATGGAAAAATGATGTTTTCCTGATAGGACAAGGTGCACGGAAATATTTCTATAAAAACTAGTCAACATATATATGCACATCAGTCAATTTATTACAGATATTTTTCACACAGTTCACAAATTGTCTACTGATTATTTGAAACCATAGATGTACATAAACAATATATATATATTTATATCAATTTGAAATGCTGATATCAGAAAAAGAATTTTCATAAAGTGAATTACATGCAGGTATATAATACACAGTTTAGTATGATACCAATGGGTTTTAGTCAAGTTTTTATTCATGTTGACTTAATCACAAAAATGTTTTTTTTTACGTTTCATTGGCACAAGGGGTGGTTGCAAATTTGTAAGGCGAACACATATTTTCCAAACTTTTGATGCACGCTTTGACATCGAAATAGGCATCACTCCTTGCAATATCCTGATGTTTTTTATTCTTTCCATTTCACGTTCGACATGAATGCAAGCATTGGCAATATCTCTTGTCTTTTTAACGTCTCGTTTCGGCATTTGTGTCCTTTTCGTTTTGAAGGGTGGGATAATAACACATACGCCTTTTTGTGTTGTTAGATCTGCAATTGTGAACCCCTTGTCCGCCATTATTGCATCACCAGGTTCGCAAAGGCAATTAAACCACTCTCTTGTGTTATTTTTTTGTCACTTGTGCTCCCAGACCAGCGATCACTTACAAAAGTCACTATCCCAGATGGATTGATCCCAATCAGAGATTTCCCGGTCAGATGTGATTCATAGTCACTGTACATAAGTGATTTCAACTGGAGCGAGTTTGGAGTTTCTGTTTGAATTTCCGTGCAGTCTATGATGACACATGTATTTGGAAATTTCTCCTTGAAAACATCGGGCATATTAGCATCAATCACTTCTCGAGTAGTCCACATCACCAAAAAAGATAATTTAACATCTAAGTAATCAATCCATTTGTTCACAATTTTGCCACACGCCGTAGTGGAGATATGAAACCTATATGCTAAATCTTCCAGAAGTAGGCCTAACCTCAAACGCATCAGCACTAACAAAAATTCATCAATGACCTTGAGAGACCTTGGTCTACCAACTGTTGATCCTGTAGCTCTCCCTGTGCCTTCATCTGCATCTACAGCAATTTCCTCAAATAGTGTATCAAATACAACCCTGTTAGGAATTCCACTATAGAAAGATAGTTTCTGGTCATCATTCTTAATATCTTCATGTGTGAGTTGTGGGAGATTAACCTGTATGCCAATTTCACTTGTTTGAATAGAGTCAGTCTGTGTGCAGTTCATTTGTAAAGATGACACTTCATCAATTTGGGTGCATGCATCTGATACATCAACATGAGACTGAATAGCTTGGTGGAGTATAACAGATAATGATGGTAAATCACTGCAGTAATCATGTAGACGCAAAGAACTATCTAATATTGAAGCTGACTCGGTGAAGGATGTGGAAACACCATTATCTTCATTTTTGCTGGTTGAAGATTCCTCAGCAGGTTCAACATGAACACATCTTGAAATGTTGAAGTCATCTTTCAAGATCTCAGACACATGTTTTTGATTTTTATCCAACTCCTACAATGAAAATGATAAAAAAATTAATTCAATATAACTTCAGATTGAAATTTATACTAGGGAAATGGTATATACTGAACAATTATTCCTCATAAGTGTTCTTACTTCATAAATTAACTTATTTAATTTCTAAAAGTTTGAATTAGCATAATTGATTAATAATATCTACTTCTGGACCTTTTTATTAGTACATGTACACACAATAATGATATATACATGTGGGGTAGGCCTATACCTTATTACAGGTTCTTTAAAAAAATGCTGAACAATCATCATGCTCTATCGGGTGACTGTCATTATATATATATATATATATATACACAGGGACAAATTAACCATTTATATAATTACCAAATTTAAATTTTGGACAATTTTAACTTGAAATTGCATTTGTAGATCAACAATAAATTCTGGGAAATTGCTAAAAACGTTTTTACAAAAATTTAATGTGCCAATGCCATATTCATTTAATGAGAAACACTTTTAATTCATTTTTATAATGGCGACTTGTTTCAGGTGCTATTGTGTAAATGTCACTCTCGAAAATTTTACAGAAACGATTATACAAGTTACAACGTAAGAGAGCTCAAGTAAAATCAGCATATCAATTATACCATGAATTCACACTTAAACGTGTATATCATGCGGGTAATTCAGATATAACTATAAACATCCAAAAAAACTGGACAGTTCTCCTTATCCTAAAACAACATGCTTTTTTGAAAGCTACGCTGAGTTTTACATACCTGGTAAACTATAAATGTTAGCTCTGGCTTTTCCGTTGTCAATGTGTATCTTCTTCAAGATATGATGTTCCAATCTTTTCCACTCTCGCCTCGCGTAGTTTATGTCCTTTTGACAAAGTTCGCAAAATGCCATTCCCGGAACTTTTATTTTCCTAATGTGCTTGCCGATTAACTATCCCTTTGCTTTCTTTTCCAGCCATTCCCACTTCCAGACGTTTTTTATTCCCTTTTCTATCGACTTTGTATCGACGTCTCTATCAATAATTCTCGATGCCATTGTCGACAAAACCGCGCTTTTTTTGCTACTTTGTTACGGCTATATTGATTAGTTGAAAATAATCAAACAACCAATAAGCTTTACTCTAACTAAAACACTCGTCTGTAGTACAAATAGGAAACACGTTTATGACAGTAAATGCGGAAACGACAGCGGACATTCCGGATTTGCGTCGTCGATCAGTAGCATTGAAAATCCTTTTTTTTTACTGAAAATTAAAATATGTTCATTGGAAAATTGAAAAAAAGCGGAATCCCGCTTTAATTGAAAGGAAAGAAAGATATGTTTCTCTGAAACCCAAAGAACAAACAAAATTTCATAAACTTGCTCAGTAGTAGTCTACAATCGAGAAGTATCAGTCAGACATGCTTCTGATGATGCAGACTATTTGATCACAAAGACTGTTTGTGAGTGTGCACAGAACAGAAATGTAATATTGATAGGTGATGATACTGATCTCCTGGTACCACTTTGCTATCACGTTTATATTGATGGTCATAGAGTTTTGTTCAAGTCTGAAAGTGGAACAAACTCACTACCATACGTAATGCCATTAAATGCCAATGAAAAACCCATTATATTCAACCTATTAAAATCCCCATGAAAACCACTATTAAAAACCCCTTTATAAACCTTTAAAACATTCGAATATTAAGGGGGTGATTTTCATGGCTTATAGGCATAAAGCCATTGAATTGTGATGAAACTGTGCATGTAATGGTCATTACACGTAAAAAGGACAGTGGTGATTGATGGCCATTAATTTCTTGTTCAGGCACCTTAATGGCATATAAACCCATTAATGTTACCCCACTTTCTTGGGCATTATTGACTTGTTTAATGGCCTTTAAACAGAGATATCACATTTTAATGGGCATGAAAATACCATGACACATCCTAATATTAACGGCTATTAAAAGTGTACCCATTACATTTCTAGCAATAATGCCAATTAAACACTGTAAATAATGGCCATCAAAAAAACTAAATGTACCCCCTCTAATCTGCTTCTCCCTTCCGACTCTTTATGTCTTTTAATGTAGGAGATTTCTGCCAAATGTGTGCAGCGATTGCTGAATCACGGAGTACAGTGTTAAAATAACCCTGTGCCTTGGTAGATGTCCCTCTACAGCATTTGTTTTAAAAAACATCTCTTCTACATGTACATCTTGCTGAACTGTAGTATTAGGTCTATCTGGATTTGCACAAGAACTCTCAAGGGGACCCAGTGAAGGAGGACTCTGATATGTTGAAATGGACTCGGATGAACTTGGACTTTTGCATGTTACACTAGATCTTGATGAATTTGAACCAGTTGGACTCAGTAAATAGCTAGATGTAGACACACTAGTACTGGACGTTTCATCATTCAACTCCAGTTTTTTTATTTGCAATTTATCTTTGACCATGGAAACGATCCAGGAAGTCTGGGAATAAATCCTGTATGTCATCTCTAGAAAACTGTAGAAATGTTTCCTCATCAACTCCTCGATCTGCAAGTGTAAATCAGAATGTAAACATAAAAACTACTTCTAAATTAAATACAGCGATTAATTAAATCTATATCAGTAATGGACCGCGACTGGCTAGGATCTATGGAGAGGAAAGTCTAGCAAAACTTATTCAAGTACATTCCGGGAGTTCCTTGTAAAATGATGATGTGATGTGGGACATACATTATTCACCAATATGGAAAGACATCTATTCAGAAAATGGACTTTTTCAAGATGATAAAATGGCACTTTTGTTCGCACTGGGAATGGATGGTGTGAATCCATACCACAACCTTGGGGTCATGTATTCGATGACCCCAATCATATTGACAATATTAAACTTGCCACGACATATCAGGAATTGTTTCAAGAGTATTACGCTTGTTGGAATTATTAAAGGCCAAAGAGAAATTTCTGAAAGAAACACCGATGTTTAGACGAACTTCTTTTTCTAACAAAATGTGAAACATACTCGGCATATACAAATGTTCCTGTTCAGGTTAAACTAAAACTATTGTTTGTTTTGGATTATCCTGGTCTGTCAAAACTTTTTCACCAGCATGGAAGTGGAAGCATTTCGGGATGTCATTGGTGTGACATCCATGGAGTCTACAGTCCAGATTTACAGAAGGTAGTCTATCTTCGACACAGGTCTTATTTGGATAAGAAAGACCCGATGCGAAAGGATACAGCTAATTTCCTGGAACACTGCACAGAGGTAAGCTCCAAACCAAAACCTAGAACTCTGCAAACAGAACAAAATTACAGGGAAGCCTATCAAAATGTTACCAACAAAACTCCAGCTAAAGCAGTGGCTAAAGTTACAGGATATAAAGGAAAGTATCCATTGCTTCGATTACCTGATCACAACAGAATGGATAAATGTTGCCCTGACGCTTGTCATACATTGAAAGATGTGATACAAGCTATCGTATATCTTATCACTGGGACAAATATTGACAAAGAAAAAATAGAAAAAGCGGAGAGAAATTTTGGTCGATTTTGTGACTTCCTTGAAAATGAATCCAGCTCCGTTATACAGCCATTGGAATCAACTTCTTCATGTCGTGTGGGGTCAAGAAAAAGAAAGTGGCACAGTGTTTCAAAGAAAAAGCAATCCAGTTCCAAATCATGTGCTTTCGGGTCAAAATTTAAAGTGATATTCAACAGCCTACAAAGTCCAAACACCTACCATTCTTTATGATAAAAAAAGAAATCAGCATTGCTGATGAACGAGCAAAGTCACTGAGAATATCTGTAGGTTTTGGTCTTAAGCCTTCTCCAATTTTTACCAAGTCTGGTTGTCTCAAATCTCATGATTGGGTGCAATTAGGCTCAGAAGGTAAACTGAAATTCTGCATCAGAGGATTGTTAGGTGGGGAACAAAGGCATACACTCTTCATGCTATTTGATTGTTTTTCAGACTTGTGTTCTGAATCCCAAAATGTGGATGAGTTGGACGACACTGAGACAAGACTGAATACCTCGTTGGCTTGCCTGGAACGTGACTTTCCAAGTTCCCTGCAGAATATCACAACTCATCTGTTACATCACATTACTGAGGGAATAAGGAAGTTTGGCCCAGTTTATGGGACATGGATGTACGTTTTCGAACGTTTCAACAGCTGGCTATGCAAACGTGCATTGCATATGCAACATCAAGAAGCTACTGTAGTGGAGACGTACATTATATATGATTTCTTCAGGCAAACTTCATTTAGATGGAAACCTGCTTACTCTTGGAACTCCTAGTCATTATTATAACCTTGACGGTGGTGATGATGATGTTAGAAATTAACCCAGTTCTAAAGAGAAACTTAGATTAACTGCACGAAAAATGGCTGTTATACATGGACTGTGTGTCAATAAATGTAATGGCGCCACTTGTACAGTTGAAAAGACTACCAGCATGGTGACTGTCAATGATCCCAATTCACAGAAAGTTACAAAATACAGTTGCCGTTCTAAAGAACATTCCTCATTGAAAACAGTATCATCCTATGTATGTGTAGACAGTGCTCGAGGCCAACAGGATGAAAAACTAACGACAGGCAAATATGTTGAATTTGGTCGCATCAAAAATTTCATTGAACATTGTGGAGATGGTTGCAATATAGATGTTTTTGCATATATATTTTTGGCACTTAATTCTTGGGGAATTTTACCCTCAATTCATAGTAATAGAATATTCCCAATTTGTTTCAGCTTCTCTCATATCGTTGAGGGTCTAGCTGGTCGTAAGAGGTATATCTACATGAAACTAAAGTAGTTCATATGAAACTTTATAGTAAGCTAGATTTAATGTAGAAGATATTTAAATTATTCCCGGTTCTACTGGCTGTTGTTTGTTGTGAGCTCTGTTGACATTGTAAAGATGTTTTTCATGCTTAAAAATGGACCGTTTTGAGGCATTTATTTGAATTAAATGCCCCGGCCACCTACCAACGTTTGATGGAACAGTGTTTAGGGGAATTGCATATGGTAGATTGTTTCATCTCCCTTGATGATGTCATAATATTCTCCACATGTGAGGAACACCTCGAGAAATTAGAGAGGGTACTGCAACGCCTAAGGGAGCATGCAAACCTTTACAAAACTGAAGGATGTACTTTAGTCGCCACCCATTTTGGCTTACCCAAACTATTCCAAGCCATTCGAGCTTCACACTGATGCTAGTCATTAGGGACTAGGGGCAGTGTAGTACCAGCATCAGGATGGGAAACGGGTGGTTATTGCGTTATGCTAGAAGAGTGCTTTCCAAGTCGGAAAGAAATTATCCAGCCCATAAACTTGAGTTTCTTGCGATGAAATTGGCTGTCACCGAGATGTTTAAGGATTATCTATATGGCCACAGTTTCTCTGTGTTGACCGACAACAACCCTCTGACTTATGTCTTAACCAGTTATAAATTGGATGCAACAGGACACTGATGGCTAGCGGCCCCATCCGCATACGATTTCAACATCAATTATCAACAAGAGATCCCAGAGGGATCTTGGCGCCCACCATTTGAGGATCTGTTTTCAGTTCTTGAAGATTTGTTTATTTTTTTTGTTTGTTACAGGTGTTGTAAATGTTCATGAACTGGTCTTCATTGAATGTACTCAATGATGGCACAAGAAATTTTTATTAAGCACCTATTAGCAAATATCATTTGAAAAAGATCCCAAAGTCTTATTAGATAGCAGTCAGTTACAAGTGGATAATGGACAATATGCTTGTGCTGTATTACTGTCGACATCAAAGATGGCTGCCTGTGGGCCACCTTGATTTCAAATCAGTCCAAAAAAGGTACAATGCACAACTAGGGACCAAGGGAAACTAATATCTATGAAATATCAGAAGGATCCATCCAGTACTTCCTCAGATATAGCAGTAAAAAGATTTTACTCTCAAAATCCAAGATGGCTGCCTGTCAGCCATCTTGATTTCGGATCAGTCCAAAAAGGTATAATGCACAACTAGGATCCAAAGGAAACCTGCATATGAAATTTGAGAAAGATCCATCCAGTACTTTTCCAGAAATAGCGGTAACAAATGATAATTTAACTTGTGTTAAATTATAGTTTATATACAACTTTATATATTGCTCCTTTCTTTAATATTCACCATACTGGTATATTTTTGTTACTTTTTATTTCCTTTGTTATATTGGCTTAAATCTTATGTTTTTATTCATTTTGTATCTGTGTATTTCCTAGGATTTCCTTTGCCAGGGCCAGTGTAAGTCTATTTAATGAAGCTTATTATGTTGATATGCAAATTAGGGGAATTTTGGGATTATTGACCAATCACCATTAAACCCTAGAGGGGTATGTTGTATTGCAGTTTCAGACTTCAGTAATTGTTTTCTGATGAATGGTGGTGTTTGTTTGTGACTTATTTTTCTCAACTTATCTACCCTACGATCTACGTTTAGTACTTCACTACTTTGTTCTGAGTACAGCATTTTCATCGCTATCTTCTATATATTCACTGTGACTTAATTATAGTGTGACTTTTCCGGAGGAACTGGGCCTTGGCCTAGGTGCTTGTTCTTGAAGACACGAACTCGACGAAGTTCGCCTGGAATGCTCGGACTCGCTGTTAATGATTACCAACTCATCATGGCATTTACGATGTTGTGTTAAACTACAGTAGGCCTAATTGTGTGCGATCGTGCCTCACCGTTCGTTTCTCGAACTTTACATTCTTTCAAACTTTTATCGCCGATCATGTGCTTTACTGTACCCATTTCTCGCACCCTGATTGTTGTTACTCGGACTCTGTAGGCCTACTAAGAACTACGCTGGTTTGCTGCCCGGAATGCCCGTTTGTTATGTTTCGTATTTCGCCCCTTCGCTACTTTTAATGTGTTGACTCACAACGGATATCATTCATGTGTCTAAACATCCTGTTTTGTTTGTGAAATAGGCCGTGACTTGCGTGGGAATTCCTATCTATATTTAGATTTGTGTTTAATATGAGTCCTAAACGCTCTTCTCGTCGAGCTGCGCCTTACGACCCGGAACTATTAGAAAACTGGACTCTTTCACGTTTAAGGGAAGAACTTCAGTCACAAGGATTTGTGTTCAGAACAAGTGACAAACGCATGGTTCTTGTTAAAAAATTGAGGGACGCTAGAAATTCGATGGGTCGTGTGCAAAACGGCAGAGCTGGTGCGCGATCCCACAGTGCAACGGGCCAAGATGGCGACTTACAAGATGGCGGCGCCCATGGAGAAAACAACAACACTTTGTATCGCATGGTGTCTAGCTTGGCTGACAGTGTCGCTACGTTGCAGGAAAGCTATTTACGACTAGAAAACTGTTTTAATTCTGGAGGAAGTGGTACTAGGCCGGTTAGACGATTTACAGGCTTGGGCAGAATCAGGCAGAATCGAGCAGGATCAGGCAGGATCGAGCAGAATCGGGCAGGATCGGGCAGAATCGGACTAGAATAGTGCCGTTTAAATGATTTTCATGAATTTCTTTTGCATTGATGTCATCATATGTTACACATTATGAAAGTTTTTTTAAGGAAAAATGAAGACGTATTACATAAAACACTCATTTCTGATTTGGTCGCGCAAGACCGAAAGACGATTTGCAGGATCGGGCAGAAACGGGTGGTTTATATGTAGAATTTGGACTCTAAATTGTTTTTAGTGTAATTATTGTGGTGTTAAATGATATCAGTTAAAACATCATAATTTCATATCGATCAAAAACGGCCAAAAAAAAAGTATTATGTTCTTTCCACATAACCTAATGTGCCGCACTGGACCGAAAGACGATTTGCAGGATCGGGCAGAATCGGGCGGTTCATATGTAGAATTTGGACATTGGTTGATTTATAAATTCATAGGTTAATTATAAAATATATCATAGAAAATTGATAATACCTTTTTGTGTTGTGTTAACAATAATGGAAATCCCCCGCACCCCATTCCCCTACAATAGTAAAGAATATTGACTATACTTAGTAATAATGTTGTCGGCAGTATGTAAAATAAGTCGCGGATGTTTCCTTTCAGTTTTATTATTAACTGATATAATGTAGAAAGCCATCTGCTACAGTGATAATGGCCTGATAATGCTGCTAATAAAGTAACATTATCGGGAATATATCACTGCATTGCCCAGGTCTCGCGATCGTGGACCCTGCTTTCATGGAGACCCTTTTTTTTGGGAGGGTTTTTTTTTTTTTTTTGGCTTTTCTTTTTTTTTTTTTTTTGTCTATCTGTACCTAAACAACACTACAAATATAATGATAATACTTTGTTAGTTCTTTGTCATGGAAGTGGACAAGGTCTGTCGTATACATCGCTGGATACGGAATGTTCATTTTTACTACACTGTCCTTAAAAACCTTGAATAGTTTCTTGTTTACCGACGACTACTGGCGTTTGAAATGTTGCATGGATAAGTCACCCCTGAATTTACCCCGCGCTACAATTTCCTGAATTAGAACTGTCTTCACGCCTGACGCTTCAATACACCTACTAAAAGCTTGAGACTGTCTACGATTTCTGCTGGATATGAGTCGGTTGAAATGTCATTCCCTCCCAAGCAAACAAACACAACGTCAGCCTTAAAATCTAACAGTTCCTCAAGGCACTTCCTCAATCTTGGCACAGAAAACACTTTATTAGCCACCATGCCACCTTCACCAAAAAAACGTACTGTCCCTTCAAAACTCAAACGACCCCCGCAAAATCTGTTAAGACGCGCAATGTAGCTACTTCCAAATAACGCTATTCTCGACACGATTTAAGTTGTACTTGTAATAAGTGTAAAAAAAACTGTGTAAGACTAAGTATTTATAATGTGTGGACTTATACAGCCTGGAGAAAAGGCGGTATCATCTTCCTTTGTTTCTGTATTTGTTTTGTTGAGTATTTTTCCCTCCTTTACCCTTTTGTTTTCTTTTGTTTTTAGTTTCAAATAGCTGTATGTTGGTATTGGTTCAATTGTGTGTCAGTTTTTTGGTATTACAATCATAAATCTGATAATTGCGAAGCCAATGCCATTCAACCGGGTATTGGGGTTTCTTTACGTCAATCACTATTTGAACAGTGTATCTTTAAAACTGAACGATATTTTCTTAACAACAAATGACATCTTGTTATTAGTACTAATGGGGTATTGTCAAATAACCGAGTAGATGAGTTGGTGCCAAAAAGTTTGGAAAACGTAAACAGTGATGCCGATTGGTGCAACCTGTATTTATCATTTTATTGATATTTTATTTTTATTCTTGATTCAAAGTAC